TCTTGGTTTAACCGTAGAACGTCCCAGCCGAAATCCGCCCGCCACGATCGATCCCTCCACTATCGTCGGCCCGCAGCGACCCGCAGCGATGGATGCCGCCGCCCCCCCGGCCCCTGCGGCTGACGCGCCGATGCACGACCGGCCTCCGTCGGATGGCTCTACGGCCTCTCCGGCCGCTGACGCGGCCGCCCATGCTGCTGCCGATCCGGTCCCTCTCACGCTCAGCGATACCCGCACAAGCTACGACAACTTCGAGGTCGCCGGCTTTGGCCAGGTGCAGCCACCACCTGCTTGCCTCCATGTTCACGCTTCGCGCCCCTTCCCCCCCTCTGACGCCGCCGTATGACCGTAGGTGAGGGGCACGACTGCCCGCCTGGAAGGCGCTCTCATCAGCAAGTCACCCAGGCACCAACTCCTGGGCGTTTACGCTTGACTACGAAACCATGCAGTGGATGCAGCTCGATCAAAACGGCGACGCCAACAGCTGGTCCCTGGGCGAGTTCCTCGCCCAGGATGAGGTGCGAGTCATGATGCTCGACCCAGCGTGCACCAAGTCGCTCACATTCCGTGAGTTCGTCAAGGGCCGAACACACTCTCCAAGTCGACTGCGATCTCGAACTCCGACAACTGGACCGGTGCACCATTTGCGGAGGACGATGGCTCCCTCGACGACATCCCTTCATCGACGGACGCCTTCACCGCCGCCGGCCCTGGGCCATCCAGCGCGGCCTCCGACGGCCTGCACGTGATCGAGCGGGTACAGAAACGGTGGCTGCCGCAGCTCACACCCTAATCGATCTGCCTTAGGCACGGAGCCAACGGAGCCATCGCGCATGCCCGCATCGCGTGCGGCTCCGAGGTCTCCCGCCGAGACCGGCTCGGCGCGGCGCGTGGCCGCACGCCGCCGTTGAAAAGGCGAGATAGGACCGAGGGGAGAGCGCCGGCCACATCGAGCGAGCGCTGACGTGTAAGGTGTCTGTGCTGCTCCGGTGTGTGTGGGATTCTGCCCCCCCCCCCCCCCATCTGTGCGGCGAGTTGTTTGCGGCGCGATGCCCGATCGTGCGCGATAGCCTCCCATTGTGCGTGGTGTGTCGGTGTGTGTCGGGGTCGTCCGGAGCGTGTGGCGGCGCCGTTGCATGCAGCGACTGCTCCACGTGCCACGACTGCTTTGACTGCCGTGACTGACTGATGAGTGCCACGACTGCTTTGACTGACGTGACTGACTGATGAGACATGAGTGCTGATGGATGATCTCCGACAACCCAAAACCAAAATGCAAATGCGGAGTGGCGCCACTTTGGCGTGCAGATCCTGCGTCTCTCACTGCCCGAACAACAGAGACGGGTACCGCCGCAGGTCCCACACTAGTCGCAGTATACAATTCTTACACTCCCGACTGCCCGTCGGCCGGTCAAGGCGAGAGGGGCCCACATCTCTCCTTCCGCGCCCCGCTTCCACTCCCATTCAGGCAGCCGACACCCCATCGGATCGGCGGCGACGGGTGCGATCTCGCCGTCTGAGCCGCATTCTGCACCTCCCAAAAAGTATGGTCGGGATTACGCTCACAGCGGAGCTGCTCGGCGTCAGTGGTGGACATGGGTCGATGGTCGGGTACAACAAGCGCTTCTCTGCAATGAATGGGAGGAATGCCAACCTTGCCTGTCTGGCCGACATGCAAGCTGCCGCAGCCCTGGGCCGAGCTTGGTCGGACTTTGGCCTCTGGCTGCTACCGCGAGGAAGGGCACCCGTGTATCTGCGTCTCACCGGTGCAGCAAAGTGGGCAGAGTGGTACAAGAGGAGCAAGGCTGCTCCATGTCGGCAACCCTCAAAGAGCCTGCCTGTTGCGGACATCGCCATCTACCCACCCGCGGCGCAGCAGCAGTTCGAGTCGATGGCTCGTGTGCCTGTCCCCACCGCCTCCTCTCCGCAGCCGGCCGAGGGGATGGCGCGCTCGCCGTTGCGGGTCGTCCGCGTTGTGCTCCCTTTTGACCACATGGCTGAGCCGCCGCCACCGGGGATGGCGGCCGTGCGCATCCTCGGCCCGGCCGCCTCGGACCCGGGCACGCAGCTGGCTTTTCAGGAGAAGCGAAAAAAAGATGACCGCGCACTCGGAAGATCTGCTCTACCCCTCCCCGGGACGTGTCTGTCCTCGACCCAGCCCTAGCTTGGGATGTCCGTTGTATTTATTTATTTATTTACCCCTCCCCGGGAGCAGTACGAGGCGGCGATGGCGGCGGGCGAGCTGCTCGAGATGCTCGAGAGCTTGCCGCGAGGGGCGGTCGAGGCCTCTGTCCGACAGATGCGGGGTTACAACCGCACGGGCGAGTGGCCAGAGCCCATTCTCACCAGCCCTACCCCGCAGCGCGGCCGCTCGCCAAGCCCCGTCGATGAGTGGTCAGATGGTTAGTGCCCGAGAGCGAGGGGTCCGGGGGGGAGCACAAACATAGGACGCCCAGCCTTGCCCTCGTGCCGCCGAGTGCATATCCTATGCGAGAGAGATCCCCTGTGCCCTGTGCCCAGCCCTCTCCGCGCGGCGATGCGCCCTCCCCCCTCGCTTTTGCAAAATCCTGCAAAGGTGGGGACGTGTCTGTCCTCGACCCAGCCCTAGCTTGGGATGTCCGTTGTATTATTTTATTTTATTTCTACCCCTCCCCTGCAGACTCCCTAGGGTGGGCGACGGCTAGCGCATCACACCCCTCTCCTTAAAATCCCTGTGTGGTGGCGGCGTGCCGTCCTCCCATCCCTCCCTTGGGTTGTCTGTTTTCTTTCTTTCTTTCTTTTCTACCCCTCCCCTGAGTCAGAAATGTGGTCCTTGCGCGAGGGGAGCTCGATAGACTCGAGGGGCCAGGATACGCCGCGAGGAGGGCGGAGTTGCGCCGAAAGGCGAAAGAAGCCGCGAGAACAAGGGACCGGCAGGCGGCGGCGTCGCAGGACGAGGCAGAAGAGAACGACGCGACAGAGGAGGAAGTGACAAGGGAGAGAACGACGAGAGTGGGACGACCGCGAGGTGGCATGAAGGTTGCAGCGAGAATCGGCGAGAGACTGCGAAGAGAGATAGGAAGAGGCAGACTCCCTAGGGTGGGCGACGGCTAGCGCACCACACACCTCTCCTTAAAATCCCTGTGTGGTGGCGGCGTGCCGTCCTCCCATCCCTCCCTTGGGTTGTCTGTTTTCTTTCTTTCTTTCAGTCCCGTGCCCAGTGTTGTGCGAGGGAGTTTTGCTGTAAGATTCTTTCTTTCTACCCCTCCCCTGCCACGCCGACGGTGCCTTGAAATGGCGCCATTCTCTTCTCCTGGTCACTACCAAGCGTGCCGACGAAAGTCGCCGAGTCTTCCTTTGGGGTCGCCGCCGGTTCAACGTGCCGCAGTGTTGTGCTCGCTCGCCTGGCGCTGCCGACGCGCGCACTGCTGCGTGTATTCGTCCCGTGTACCAAGCAAGGTCAATGATACAAAGCGATTGATGACCGCACACAGCTGCTGATGTGCAGATCACCGGGTGCAATCGCATTGCTGTCCGCGGAGGGCCGACACACGCTGAGGCATGAGGTACGACGTAGAGGAGCCTTTGATGCGGCGAAGAAAAGAGGAAAATCAAAAGCCGATTCGCGTGAACCAGAGAACCGATTTGAAGAGCAAAAAAATTTGAAAAAGGCTAGAGTCGTGCAGGTGGGGAGTCAGAAGATGAATCAGCTCGAGAGAGAACAACGAGAGTGGGAAGAACGCGAGGTGGCATGAAGGTCGCTGCGAGAATTAGCGAGAAACTGGGATGTTAGAGTTAGTCATTACAAACCAGAAACAGGCTCCTGGCAGGTGCCTGCCAAGCGGCCGTGGGCTCTCAGGTAGGCTCTGGGGTGCTCTGGGGTGCTCTGGCGGCTCGGGACGGCTCGGGACGGCTCGGGACGGCTCGGGACGGCTCGGGACCGCTCGGGACCGCTCGGACACTTCCGAACATTGCTACTCCGTTGTGACCGTGCATGCATCCAGGAGTGCCAAAGACCCTTAGACACCATTGGCTTGGGAGGCGCTGCACCGTGTTTCTTGTAATGATCAACATCCCTGCGAAGAGAGAAGGAAGAGGTAGATAGACGCCCGAGGGTGGGCGACGGCTAGCAGCACCACACCTCTCTCCTTAAAATCCCTGTGTGGTGGCGGCGTGCCGTCCTCCCATCCCTCCCTTGGGATGTCTGTTTTCTTTCTTTCTTTCTTTGGACCCAGTTGGACCCTGTCCTCCTCCCCCATCCCTCACGTTTGGGTTGGATGTTTTCTTTCTTTCTTTCTGCACCATGCACCCCTCCCCGACGCCCTGCGAACGGTGTCTCTTTTCCCTCTGTGTCCGCGCATCTCGTATCTCTCCTGAAGATGCCTGCTCTATTGAATGAGGGCGACGGACAAGGTCGCGGCGCAGGGGGTCCGGAAAGCGGCGGGGCTGGAGAGGGCGGCCCCTCCCCGAACCTCGCCCTCGGGCGAGTTAGAGTCGTCGGCCATGGAGGCCGGGCTCCCGTGGGCACCTTCGGGTGGATCTCAGTAGATCCGGCAGGCACCCCGAGCTCGCGACGGGCGACGCCCTTCACGACTGGAAGGGCCAGGGAGCGCACGTGCTTCGATCGCAGGGTGCCCCATGGAGGGTGCCCCTGCGCCCCGGAGGCCCTCCGGGGGGGGTATCCAATTTGGGGGGAGGGCCGGGGTGATGCTGCCTTGGCGCGCGCTGCCGCGACGCGGCACGGAGTTGACCGGGCCACCCCGGCGAGGGAGATGCCCTCCAGCGAGGGTCGCGCCCTTGAGACCGCCGACGGGTTCCTGGACGACAAGGCCGATCGACTTTGGAGGACCCGGTCAAAGGGTTGGTGAAGCCCCCCCCCCCCCCCCCCGAGGGGCAAGCCAAACGGACGGCGCGGGCGGTGGCGATTGCGTGCCCGCATGCGCGGCGTGCTAATACTCGGTGCCCTGGTGAGCCACGCGGCTCGCCACGGCGCGCGCGGGCGCCACCGCGCGGCGACGGCTATGTGCGATCACGGAGCGGGCCGGCTGTGGGAGCCACTAACGCCGATGACGCCTGAGTTTGCGTCAGTCGCTCAGGCACAGTTTGAGGTGCTCGGCGCGCGGCTGCAGGCCTCTCGCGCCGCCATCTACTTTCGGCGCGAGGACCCACGGACCGGCGCTCTCGAGTTTGTGCCGGCCGCGGTCTGGCCGGCGACCCAAAAGGTATGGATCGTCGGTGAGGGCGTCCGGCCGTCAGTCGACTCGCCGCCGCTGCCGGGCGGTACCGACGCGGGGTCGCTGATGCCATCGTACCCCTTTCTCTCGCGCGCTGCCTCGCCGCTGCCCTTGGGGCGGCTGCCCGAGGAGGCTGCTGAGGCGGGCCTTTCTGTACCGCTCGTGCACGGCTCGGATGTGCTCGGCATGCTGGCCATCTGGCGGGCCGCGCCGGGCCTGAGCGAGGCCGCGCCGCCCGCCTCCCCTCCACCTGCGTCCTGGACCAAGGAGCAGGCGAGCATCCCGCGAGGGAGAGGGAGGGAGGGAGGGAGGGAGGGAGGGAGGGAGGGAGGGAGAGAGAGAGAGAGAGAGAGAGAGAGAGAGAGAGAGAGGAGGCGGGGCGACGGTTCTGCGGCGGTGCGGTGCGGCGCCCCTCTCTCTCTCTGCGAGCATGCGAGCCGCCCTCGCTAGGCGCGCGAGCTGGAGGCTGCGGCCTCGGCGCTCGCGGTCGCCGCCCTCTTCGACCGCAGGTACTCGGGCCTCGGCGGAGGCTACCGCGAGATCGTGTACGGCGACGCGCCGCGAGACGGCGGCGCGGCGGCCGGCGGCGGGATGCGGCAGGGGGGGGAGGTGGAGGCGGAGGGGCGGAGGAGGGGGCGGCGGAGGCAGGGAGGGCCCTCGCCGCACGCGCAGCCCTCGGAGAGGGGGGCGGGCGGCACGGCGCGGAGCCGCGGCCAGCCGGTCACGGGCGGCGGCGGCGACGCGGAGCAGCGCGGAGCCTCCTCCGCAGCAGCTCGCGGCGGCGGCGGAGGAGGAGGCGGAGGCGGAGGCGACGGTGGCGAGGAGATGGGCGAGCTGGGCGCTGACGAGCTGCGCCAGCTCCTCGCCTCCTCTGTCCACCAGCTGCGCTCGCCCGTTGCGGCGACGCGGACGCTGTGCAGCCTGCTGCTGCGGCGGCTCCCGCTCGACGACTCTGCCTCTCGCAGCCT